CAATGAATGAACAAATGTGCTTTACATAATTGATGTATGTATGGATTGTGATAAGAGTTGTATGAGCCCCTAATAAAATGATTTTTTAAAAATTAAAAAAAAATACATGAAAGCTAAAAATAAAAATAAGTGGTTTTTAATGAATTAAAATGAAAAGCCAGATTGATTGTGTCCTCTGCCCTCCCCTATTAGAAAGCAGTTGGCTCCCATTAAGATCTTTGGACCGTTCCTATTTCTCACCATCTCCCTTCCTATTTCTCACCGTCTAGGGTAACTGTACCCTCTGCAAACGAGATGCAATGTAGAGGATTGCGCCCGGCGGGAGGCGACGCAGGGCGGCGTGTAATGCGGACCTCCCACCGCCAGGAGGCACTGTGGAAACGGCGTGCGTGGCGCAGGCGGCCCCTCCCTCCCGGCAGCACACGCTCCCTGACCCCCCACGCCGCGGAGCCTCCTGCGGGTTGGGCGTCGGGCTTGGCGCCGGCTCTCTCGTACGGTCGTCGGTAGGTGTACGCAGAGTGCGTCCATCCCTCCCTTCTCCGCGGTGCTTCCGGGCTGCGTACGGAGCTTGCGCGTCTGGGTCCCGGGCTCCGCGCTGCCGCCGCTGCGGCCCATGGGGAAAGTCGACCGGACGGGCCGGGTAAGTAACCCCTTCCGGCGGCCTGACGGGGAAGCGAGTACGGGAGCCCCGTTTCCCAGGAGAAAGGTGGACGCGAGGCCGCACCTTTAGGCCGCGCCGTGGAGGTAGCGGGAGGTTTTGATCGCGGCCAGCCCAGCGCTCAGGGACGTCTCGGACTCCAGCTCTCGAGTCCCTCGCGCTGCGATTTCTCTTGTCGCCCCTTTGCCTCGGTCGCCCTTTGCCTCCCTTCGGCGCTCCGGGCGCTGCCCCCACCGGGTGTCCGGCTCTGGCCTCCTCTCTCCGCGATTCTCAGCGCCTCTGCCGCCGCGCGCTGGGCTGTCCAGCCCCTCCTGCCCCTGGGCGAGCCACTGCCACTTTCCCCTTTATCTTCTCCCCGGGACCCAGCCCCTCGCATTTCTCCTCCTGTCGCCATTGCTCCCTTTCCTGTCTGTCTGTCTGTCTTTCTGTCTGCTTCCGTCTCGTTGGGACCGAAGGACGTTCCTCTACTTCGTTGGCCATGTTTTGGAAAAGTTTATAGGTCACCTACCCCTAGCAGCCAGAACACCTTGTCACCTGTGGCCCAGCTCCTTTGCAATGCCCCAGGGCTCAGGGAGCGGAGGGGAGAGAAGCCATTTTCATCCATGGCCCCAGAACCTGGAATTCCAGGTGTTGGCATCTCTTTCCATGACTGGCACTTCCTTGGGCAAACGAAGGAAGTTGTGACTCCCAACATTGCCTCGGCCCTTGTCCTACAGCAGTGTTTTACTGTGGTCACTAAAGACAGGGTTTTGGAAACCCTCCCAGGTGTCACTTTATTAAGTGTTTAAACACCTATCATTTCTTGAGCAGCATCTACTGTCCAGACGATGTGTTATGGACTGTGGGTGCATCATGAGTACGATTCTGCCCCACCCCCTCAAGAGTTTTGTCTTTAGAGAAGCTGGGTTGATCTGAGGGGCTAAGGTCTGGTCTAGAAAGTCTTCAAAGAGGAGGTGATGTTTGTACTGAGTCTTGGGTTGGGGCTGAAGGTTATGCATGACCCTCTGTCAGATGTACAAAGCGTGGGAAGAGCCCCTGGCAGAGAATAGAAATACAGAGCAGTGAAGCACTATATTGCACTCTGGAAATTGTAGGTAAGATTCTAGAGAAATATTTGTGATGGATGTGAGTAGTAGTCGAATCAGTAGTTGCTAATTTGGAACACCAGTGTATGGATGTAAAAATCACTCTAGGTAAGTCAAGATTCTGCACCTCTTGGACATAGTGAGATTGCTGTGACTCTCTGCAACAAGTGGAGGTTTTAAAGGATGCAACTTAATTTCCACGTTTACAGTATAACAGCCATAAAGAGTTTTAGGAGATAAAGAGCAGTTCATTAATAACAAACTGAGAAGGTATTTCTTTTTCGAGTCTAAAAAGCACTGACTGTTGCTTACAAGAGAATGGGTTACATGACACACAAAACTTGAACACATTGTGGCATTCGGTGGTCACAAAAGATAGGGTTTTGGAAACCCGCCCAGGTGTCACTTTAAGTCTGTTTCTTTTGACCTTGTCTTGTTTTAAATTACTTTCTAAATTAGATCAGAGACTCGTCCCTGCAGAGGGATCATACTCAGTTTAGAGGGGCACCAAAGAAAGAGGAAGGCCCTGAAGGAGATAGGTAAGCACCGTGGCTGCCACAGTGCGCTCAAGCATAGGGACAGTTGTGGAGATGGCGCAGGACCGGACAGGGTTTCCTTCTGATGTGCATACGGTTGCTATGGGTCGGAACCAACTCATGGCACGTAACAGCAAATTAGATTAAACCAGACCTCTTCAGACTTCCTGACACGGAGCAGATGACTGGGGCTATGATCCCTCAAGCCTTTCATAGTAGTAAATCATGGTGGATGGTTGGTTTTGTACCTGAACTCCAGTTGCCATTGTTTGCAACCCACTCCAGCGTGTGGGGTTTTGGTCATAGAGTCTATTGGAACAAATGGGAATACTAAAATGGGATCCAAGTGTAAGAGTTCGAGGTATACAAAATTACTTTTTAAATCTTGAAAAATGGCGTTAAGTGTCATACATGGGGCAAATGCCTTTTAAGTCATGTGGGTCTTTGGTTTTTGTGGCCCTCAAAGTGCACCACTTCTCATACTTCCCCTCCTGCTCCTTCTTGTGAATACTTGCCATATCTTTGGTCATAAGGAGAAGGATTTCGTTTTATGATGATAACTATTTAGTAATAAAAGGCTTCTTAAAGGATTATTATAATTAAATAAAAGCAGACCCCATACCCTTGGGTAGATGATGAGACTGTCTTTACAATGATTAATCCAGTTCTGGAACTTCAAGTTCAATGAAAAGGTGAAAAGCAAAATTCTTTTGCACTTTCTGTGATACAGAGATCTGGTTTTATGCTGTGCAGAACCGTGGTTATATGATGGTAGTAATGTTTCTCCTGTTAGGTTACACAATTTAAAAAGTACCATAGATAGATTGTTGCTGCCATCAAATTCACTCCAACTTGTGGCAACTTTACAAGGGAATGAAAGGTCTCACAGTCCTGTGACATCCTCGCAGTCGGGGCATGCTCAAGTTCATCGTTGTGCCTGTTGTGCCAGTCCATCGTCCCAGGGCTCTCTCGTTTTCTCTGGACTTCTCTTGGAGCATGATCTCCTTCAGTGACTGATCCTCCCAGTGATGGAACCAAAGCAGTGGCTGATCTGGAGAGATGGGCTTCAGGCCTGCCTGCCTCGTCTGTCTTAGTCTAGAGCAGTGGTTCTCAACCTTCCTAATGCCACAACCCTTTCATACAGTTCCTCGTGTTG